GAGTTAGAAGAAAACCAGCTGAGCTACAGGCTTGTCTACACAGGGGAAAGGTTGTGGCATGGGCATGAAAGCAAGATCCCTCACTGTAAACACTGAGAGGTACATGCTCTGAGGTGAACACGCTCCAGCAGCTTTGATACGCAATTTTAATGCAGGAAAGAAACTCAGTGCTTGGAACCATGTGGAGGTATCCCATGCACTTGTTCAGTCAGGTGTGTGCAAGAATCTTCTCCATAGGGGATGACCACTGTAGTGTAGTGGAAAGTTCCCGCAGTTAACATCAACTACTTAAACATCCACAGCACTTTTGATGGTGTTTTTTGCTGTCTCCTAGGAGTCCCCCAAGGACGAGATCACTTTCTGCAGCACAAGGCCAGCGATCAGAATGCAGCTTACACCAATGGATTTGATGCCTCACAACTGGATGTTTACAGCTTTGCTGCTCTGGCTTTAAGAGCAGACTTTGGGGTAACAGTAGCAGAGGTATAGAATAGACAGGCCAAGGAGAAGGCACGCGTGAAAAACTGGATACGGTAGGAAACAAGCCTGGTTTCAGGGTGCAGGAGAAGAGTGCTTCTCCACAGCCCTCGCAGTTGTTGGACTTGAGAAACACTTTTCTGAGGCTCCTTTTAGACTTGTGGAGGTCACGTACAGAGGTGGGTGCTCCCTCACCTCCTCCAAACCTACAGCACAGGCTATTTGAAGACCTACAGCCCCTGACTGCTGGTCCCCACTGTACCACAGGAATGTCCTCGTACAGATGTGGCATCACTGTACAGCCACGATCTCCACAGGTGGAACAATCTGGTTACTCTGGGCCAAGGACATCTGCTGAGCTTGTGGTACTTTAGAATGCTCATTATTTCTAATAACTGCTCGTGGTATTGAAGCTCAGAGCTAGAGGTTCCCCACAGATCCCAGCTACTAACGCCAACACAAGGCAGTGGGGAAACTTCCACACCAACAGTGAGCAGCACTCTTCTCCCAGAGAGCCTGGCTTAATCCCTCTCTGCCATAGCTAACAAATGTCTTAGTTTTTTTCCCTTTTTATTTTTTTTTTTAAATCAGGCAGCTGAATCACAATGGAGATCAATTTTGTTGCTTCCTAAACTGTCACAAGCTGACAGGGGAACAGAGGCAGACCAAGCGATGGCAGGTAGCTGCGGCACAACAGCCTCAAGGCTTCCTGCCTTCCTGGCTCTTGCAAGGTCCCAGCAAGCAGGCACACAGAGACATCTCACACCAGCTGTGACGTGACCCTTCCTAAACAGCTGTCAGCAAGCAAAGGGCACAGAGGTGTCAGTGGATCACTGGGGTCATGCAGATTTTTTAAACAGAAGAGCAGCACCTGTCAACGGGCCTGTGGATAGGGAAAGGCTCTGCTCTTGGAACATCTCCTATCACACTGTGCATAGCAGGGCTCAGGGAGAGGTGGAGAGGGACTTGTTGTCTCTTCCTATGGTTTGTAGACAGCAGCAGGAGTCACAGAGCTGGAGCCTGCAGAGGTGCACAGCTGGCAGGGGAAGGATGGCTTGGAAACACAGTTAAGGAAGCTAAAAACATTCAAAGGACCTCACCAGCATTAACTACTGTGGCTGCCCCATGTGTCAGTTGGAAGAAGCAGCCTCTGTGCTAGCAGATACCACTTGGATGGGCTCAGGGTTCTGGGATAAAGTCTACAGGTTTGCCAAGAGCTGCTCTGTAGCTCCTGGGTATGAGGAGTTTCCCACATGCCCTGAAGTGAGCACGTTTATAAGGATGGTGAGTTGAGCACTCATTTGGGAACAGGCAGGAGACCTCCTTCCAGCCACTTACCTTTCATTTCTATTTCAGTAAGATGAAAGTTTCTGCCTTGAACTGCAAAGAGGCACAGCCTTTCCTAAAGGGAACAGATGCAGGCAGCAGAGACATTCGAGAAGGAATTTCTCATGTGGGATATGGATACTACAGGGCCCCTGGGTAAGAAATTGTTCTCTTCAGGCTATATCCATCACCAGTAGAAACATAGTCAGTTATAGTCAATTATAAACGAGGGCACTCGTGGTCCTTCTGCCATAAGCCTTATTCTCTGCTCTCGGAGTCTTCCTCTCCTCTCCGCCTTCACAGAACATGTGCAGTTGCTCAGAAACCTTGGATTCAGAGCAAAGCTTTGAACGGCTTAATAGGGAGAGATGGGCTCCTCCAAAGATTGTACAAAAAGTCATGGGGGAATGAATGCTGAATTTGGTGCCTAAGCCAGGTGCCTGAAGTTAAGCAGCCTGAAGGCTCCTGTGTGTGCCCATATGCAATGCCCAATGCAAAGATGCCATAATACCAATGGCAATAAAAGGCAGTCCATCTCTCTCCTTTCTTTTCATATGCAGGCAGTGCAATCCATCACACCGTGTTTTGACTCTTCCCCAACTGAATCAAATGTTTATTCCTTGCTAGATACAGGGGAAGGCCAGAGTTGAGAATCATCAAAAGCACCAGTGAGTTTTCATTTGTGCACATGCACATATGAAATGCATCGGCCTGCTGTGTGTGTGCAGAAAGTAGAATCATAGAATCATGTAGTTTGGAAAAGACCTTTAAGATCATCAGGTCCAACCATTAACCTAGTAATGCCAAGTCCACCACTAGACCATGTCACTAAGCACCGCATCTACACGTCTTGTAAATACCTCCAGGGAAGGTGACTCCACTACTTCCCTGGGCAGCCTGTTCTGGTGCTTCACAACCCTTTCCATGAAGAAATTTTTCCTAACATCCAATCTAAATATCCCCTGGTGCAACCTGAGGCCAAGTGCTCTTGTCCTATTCCTTGTTACATGGGAGAAAAGACCAGTCCCCACATCGTTACAATCCCCTTTCAAGTAGTTTTAGAGAGTGATAAGGTCTCCCCTCAGACTCATTTTCTCCAGGCTAAACCACCTAGCTCCCTCAGCCACTCTTCTCGAGACCCTTCACCAGCTTCGTTGCCCTTCTCTGGACACGCTCCAGCACCTTGATGTCTTTCTTGTAGTCAGGGACCTAAAACTGAACACAGGATTCAAAGTCTCATCAGTACTGAGTACAGGGGGATAATCACTTCCCTGGTCCTACTGGCCACACTATTTCTGACAGAGGCCTGGATGCTACTGGCCTTCTTCTCAGGAGCACCCACATGACACGGTTTTCAATTGGTCACCAGACAGAAAAGCAACTGCCCCAAATTCCAGTGACGAGTTTCCAAACAAAATGTAGGTTCAGAGTCCTCTGTAAGGTTTTTCTGCATTTGCTAGTGGATTTTAAGTTAATTTTTATATCAGCTGCTTCCAGGTGGCTTCACGGTTGATCATTTCCTATGACTGTGCTGCAGCATTTCTGAGCCCCAGAGCAAAGTGCTGCTTTGAACATGCTTGGGGGTGGGGGAGAAGTCAACACTGATTTGGAAAAAGTAGCTTTACCCCATATTTAAGAGGGTCCCTAAGAGCATCCCAGCCACCTCTCTGTCCCACCCTCTGTCCCAGCGTGGGGATGCCCTGCGTGGGGCACTTGAGGTTTGCTATTGCACCCGACGTAGCAGCAGCAGCCCCTGCTGCAAGCGCTGCAGAACTGCAGGTGCCTTTTCTTCAGCCCCGAGGCGGGGAGCCGATGGGGAAAGAGCAAAGTGCTCAGCAGTGAAAGAAAAAAACCAAGGAAACCGGTTACTGTTAGCAAAAGGTGACAAAGAAAAATTGGGATTACCCTCTGGGGTGTTTCCATTTTAGAAGCGAAGAGGCACTATGAGAACGTTGCTCCCCGTTAGATTATTGGGTTTAGTGTTTTACCCTAGAAATTCAGCAACCTTGGAAAACCGCAGAGGTGATAGGGAAAAAAAATGATGACATCGGTGAAGGGTCACAGCAGTGAGGGATTTCCGCATTAGAAATGATAACAGAGAGGGCAGTGCTAATGTGCATCCCTCAAACCCGAGTTTGAGATTCCTCTGTCACCTGCCCTTTTAACAAAGCCTTTGTCCAGAGGGTTCTTTTGTGCGCTGGGCGTCAGCTCTCAGCATCGTGAACGTCTCCCGTAGAGGCAATGATACACTGAAATACCTTCACAAATCCAGCCCAAAATGCAGGCACACTGGATTTACCATTCTTGATATTGCTAAGATAAAAATTAAACAGATCATATTAATTTAAACAAACCTCATTCCAGACTACATCATTCATACAAAGACAGAACGGCACAAGCCCCAGAAAAACAAGTTAAAAAAAAAAAGAAAAGAAAAATCCTTCCAGATCCTCTTTTATGATTGCTAGCTTGTCTTTCCCTTCAGCTCTGACCTGGATCTCACCTACAGCTGTGTGACTGACCTACACAAAATGCAAAGACACCTCCAGGGACATCACCTTTGGAGCCCATTTTCTCAATCAGATGTTACCAAAAAAAAACCCCCCACCTCCCAAAAGTCTCCTGCGCACACCCCACTCCAACCAAGGTCCTTGCTTTGCCAGAGAGCAGCATACCCCAGGTGAGCAGCAGCCTGCAACTGCTTCTGGTGTCAGTCTGTCCCCTAGTCTCCTGCTGGGTGGGATGCAGATGGGAGGACCAACATTGGCAGCCTCTGGGGAAGGAGTCCTCTGTCTGTCTGTCTGTTGAGTGCAAGAAGCCATGTGTGCTTGCTGTGCTGCTCCCACAGGCGCAGATCGCCCGGCTCTCGCGGGGAAAGCCCTTCGAGATGGTGAAGTTTGGGCACTCGCAGGCCAGCACCAAGACAGATGTGGTGAGTATCTGGAAGGTGCACACAGCTGGCCTGGAGTAGCCAGGACAAAACCACCTCCACCTGCCCAAGTGCTACCGACCACCTCTCAGCCAAACACAGTCTGCACTGCTGACCAGGCCGGGGCTGACACTGCAACCCCAAGTGTGGAAAGGTTTATTCCTGGCCCACAGATGCCAGAACAAGATGCATCCTTCAGAGGGATGTGTGGCTTTAGCACTGCTGAAAACATGCAGTGTTTCAGGGACTTGCCTTTGGATGCTCCTAGTCACACAAAGGTGGGTTTCAGATCTTCTTTGAAATTCACCACAGGCTGGGGCCCGCTGTGATGCTCTGTCCGGCGGCCCATGCAGCTGCCAGGCTCTGTGTCCGTGTCTGTGCTACTGCTTCCCAGAGAGCCACGCGGGCTCTGGAAGCAGACCTCGCAGCAGGGACGGTGGCAGCCGTGCAACATCTCCTCCTCAGAGCTGCTGCTGCTGCTGGAGTCAGAGTCCGGGTAATAGTACAGTGAGCGCAAAGAGGGCTCAGCGGGTCCCCTCAGGGAGCTCTGCCACCGCTGCTGCTCCCGTGGGGCGGACGGCACAGCGCCCTGTGAGTCTGGCCATCCCGGCCACACCTCTGCCTGGAGGCAGGCCTCCCCAGGGATGGCTGGAGGGGACGGTGCCGATGGGTGAAGGAGCCCTCCGCCAGCCATCTCCTCTTCCCTCCCCAGGCCACGGCCCCAGCCACCCACCTCCTTC